TGAAAAAAAAAAAAAAAAAAAAAAAGAAATCCACTAGTGAAAGAATGGAAAGTATATATATACAAGATCGCACTTCATCAAGAGAAGTGTGAGCAAAATTCTGTGTGATAATTAATATACAGACGCAGCAAGTAGTAGAAAGAAATTATAATGTACTGATTATTTGGGACAATAATATGCTTGAGTGATGTATAACTTTTCATGTTTGATTCCTGTTCTTTATTTCCTTTTCAGTTAGATGTTGGTTTCATACACGACTAGAACTTTTCAGAAAGATCACGTCGTCTCATCGAATGCCATCTCCTGGAAAGCAAACAAAACAAAATTAACCACAGGACGAAACACTTATGTCCATTTCGGATGATAACAATCAAACCCAGCTAGTTTCCTGGCATATTTGACTAAGCTTCAAATTAAGACTTTGTTTGTCTACCATCTTTCCACATTCTACTACATTATTTTTTCTACCGTACTCATTTTCAACCAAACATTTTTCATTAAAATAATATTACACATAAATTTAAAAAATTTCCTTCTTTTTTAACCACACATTTCAACATCAATCGCTATTCCATAATACATTACTCACAAATAATGGGGCACAAACAAGCACTAAGTGTAACTCCTTGTTTAAACATCTTTGGCCAAGTTACTTTTCTCATTATTCAAGTAAAAAAGATCACTTGATTAATTTGAAAACAACTCCTCCCTCACTGTCAAGATAATTATCTTATTTCAATATTTAGATTTTCTGTATGGGATAGTCAAGGTCACGATAAAACAGAATTAGAAGAAAAGGAGGTCATGAAAAAACAGAACATATCTAGTCCACTCCCCACCCACTCTGTAGAGATAAACTACAAGTTATATAATGTGAAGAGACAAAAAAACATCATTGCCAAGAGCATAATTTTCCGTCTAGCCAGGCATGATTTTCTTGGACCAGCTTCAGTTGAATTTATCACATCTTATATTTAAATATAGTTCCTTTATTGAACATCAAACTGCTGTAAAGAGTCTAAATTTCCTGCCAGTGTGGTTTTCCTTTAACTGGAGCAGCAAAAAAGAACCCAAGGCTGCAGGACGACCATTAAGTTCTGATCTTCCCAAAAGCCCAAGGAAAAGAGGGACAAGAAGCCAATTCATCAGGCAATAGCCATTAGAAAGAGATTTTGCTTCACTTTGTGACCAGTAAGCAACTAATATTACTGATGTTGGACATACAGGATACATTGGTCGCATAAGTTGTGTACTAGCCACTAAATCATACAAGCAATTTTGGAAAGAGGGGGTGAGAAAGCAATACAATAACTGAACAGAGGAAAATATGCAATTTCCAATTAGAGATAAAAGCTTCTCATGTGAAGATATTATAACCTCCCCCATTGATGCTCAGCATACACAGGGAAAAGTCATACAAAATTAAGAATGCGGATAGGGAAATTATAATCTTAAAGATTAAGCAGACAGAGAAAATACTAGGAATGATCAGATATTACCTTGCCACAAACTGGACAGTTATCACTTCTTTCCATCCACTCATATATACAGCCAAGATGGAAATGATGAAAACATTTTGTAATTATCTTTGGGTTTTCCGTAGTATACTCTGCACGGAAAAGATGCATTGAATCAAAGGTAAGTAAAATCAGAATCCAAGATATTTTAAACTATGAATTGCATATTGGAGCAGCAGTCATCAACTCAAGTAAATAAGTGCAGAAAAATTTTGGGTGCTGCAGAGGGAACTCCAAAATTCAGATTTTTCAAAATTCCATAACCCAGAATCACATTTTTCTTTTTCGATGCAACTTTAGGCTATCCCAGTCAAACACTCTAGTTCCACACTCTTAGCACCAGAATCACAGATCAGTAAAAGGATAATATTTGACTCTAAATATTTATGAAAATGGTAGATGTGTATTCCTAAGTAATACCAAAAAAAATCAGATTCCTTATATATAATGAACAAATACAATGAGGAAACTCGAGAAAACTAAAAATGCTATATTCTTACCTTCAAGACATGTGGGGCAGACATCTTCATCCTCTAAAGAAGTGTGTATAAGGGCAAATTCTGCCGTTGTATTAGTTATTGAGAGTCTTGGTTTTGATTTCAAATCGCATTCTTTTGATCCTTCTTCGCATGTGAAATCTTTCAGTTTGTTCGTGCCACTCAAAGATTCTGACTCTTCATTGACTTCTCTTCTCCTAAGGGGTTCAGTTTCCTCGTGCGAATGACCTGAGCCTTTCTCACGTCCAGAGACCAATCGACCCTGCTGCAAGTGAAAATATCTGGGATCCGCATCATAAGGCAGAGGTCTTGGAGGAGCATGGTACATATCCACTAGAGAAGTATCAGGTAACGTTGCAGAACTCAAAGATGTTGTCCCCTGAGTGGACAAAGCTATTTCCTGTTGTTCTTCTCTATGAAACAATGATGTATACTGCAAAATGCAGAACATTCCATAAGCAGATGGCAATGCAAATTTGTTGACATTCATGAAATTTTAGCAATACAACAATTTACGTCAGTATAGTGTACGGGAAATTGTCCAGTTAACCCAACAAGAACCCTAAACTGAAGCTTCCCCAATAGGGTTTGGGCAGGTCAAGTAATTCAATTGAAATGTTCATTGTGAACTTTTCCACTCAATCGGTATTATTTTCATTTTCAGGCTAGTAAATCATATGGATTCACATGTACAAGTTCGACAGCACCATAACTCTAAACATACATAGATTTTGAAACTCTTGAACTCATTGAGCTTATTGAGAAGTCATTGATAACTATCCATATTATGGACAGTTTTGTAAGCAGAAATCAATTTCGATTCTTTCAGTTCAAAAAATTGAGATAATGCATAGACAAACTTTAGGAAAGTTTAATGATTTGTAATCCCATTAGAACATCTAAAATTACGTGCTCAGATCACAAATTTATAATGCATAAAGATCTGTAGCTCAAAACTGAATTTATCATCCACTCAAAATACTTAAGTAGACAGTTAATAATTTAAAGCATACCACATGTAAGAAGTTTTCAACGAAGAAACGAATGCATATAAAGTTCCCACAGATAGAGCTGTTCGAATGAGCAAAATCTTCACATTCATCCCTCAAACAGCAACAAACAGCACCCATGATCAAATGATCAACAGCATCAACCTACGTCAATGCCTCAAACAATTTCCTCTTTTGAGTATCCTCAATAATTGTCGAAACTAATGAAAATAAATGAGGACCCCAAGCTCGCGGAAGTAAAAGTAGCCTCGTGAAGCAGCATTCTTTCTTTCCAAGAAATTGAGAAACGAAATGCCCTTTCTTATTTTGCAGACACTAAGATAGGCACCATAATATACTTGCACCAGTAAAAACAAGAAACGCAAACAATCAGAATAATTGAAAATCTCATTCTTAAGTAAATAATGGAAATTGTCACCAATGAACGAAGACAAACTATATAAGAAAAAAAAAGAGGAATTGAGTAAAAAAATATAGGGTCATCACCATCAGATAAATCAAAATTATTCTCTCTTTGTGATACATTATTACGGAGCTGAAATGATAACGGACGGAATTTTTCTGGAAGCTGCGACTCTAATTCAAAATATAAGATGGAAACAAAAGCATATGGTTAAAAATAAAAAATAAAAAGGACAGAAAATGCAGTCATGAAATTTCTAAAATATTCAATTTCTTTAAAATCAAGCAACTGATAATCATTCTAGAGGTAAAGAGGAAGAAAAAATTCCATTCATTCATCAAGTAAATTAACTCACAATAGGTTATACGATTCTAACACTGATTTTAACTTACATATTCGCGAAAAAAGGAGAATTAAAATATAAGCGAGATATAAATTGGTCAACAACAAGAAGTAAATAAAATATCGAGCTTACGGAGATAGATGATTCTGGAGAGACAGAAGCCAAGAAATCCGAGGTCAAATGCTTCAGAATCTTATTTTTTTCTATAAATAAAAAATGTAGTAACTAATGTGTTTATACTGGAGTACCGATCAGTCGACTACGGAGAATGCGAAAAGGTGAGGAAATTGGGCAGTTTTTGAACAGGTATTGGCACGTTTGACCTTTTACAAAGAAACTTCTAGACTCAATTAATTGACTCAAACAGTTGAATTTAAAATTGATATTCTTAAGCGAGTAATTTATTGAACATATTAAGGTATAATTCTACTCCATTTAAATTGAATTAGATGCTACATTCCAAATTGAGGACGATTTTATTGACTTAGGTGGGATCATCGTGAATCTGTAGTTATATCAAGCTCTCGACGCCTCAATAATTTTTCACCCTGAAGGTGGTTGAGTCCATCGCAATGTGCTATTTTGAATGATATCACTTTGCTCCCAATATGGTGAACCTTGTAGCTCGCAAACTTGTGTATGAAAAATGAATAATATGGCAATGGAAAACACATTTACATCACGCTAGACTTGTTAATCTCGTGCTTACTCAATGTTTCAAAGCTACAACTTTTTGTCATTTCTTCGACTACTTTTCTTCATTCTCTCATCTTGAAATGGTCACCCTAAGAATTCAGCCAATCTTTTCACTTGCTTGTTTCTAATTTCTATCTTCCTTAAGTTCCTCGAAAGTGACAAACAACACTTTAGATGGCTTTTTAAGGCTTTCTTACCTGCTGCCAAAACATGATCGAAAAGTACAACTCCCATCATGGAACTGATCAACAGCAGCCTCTAATGTCCATGGATCTTCATGAAATTTAGTTGCTTTCTGTGTGAAATGTCAAAGGGAAACGAGACTGTCCTTTGGATTTCTTGTAACATGAACAATTTTACAGTCTGGAGGAATTGAGAACAATGCCGATAATCTGGTAAGGAGTATGGGTTCCAAGAATTCTAACTTTTTCAGTCCTAAATTTAGCCTTTTTCCATTGGATTCAAAATATATTTTTGTTTCTAGAGATGGGATTAGTTCATGAGGTGAGTATAAATCAGGGATTTTTCTTTTGAAGATCTGAAAATAATGGAATGTAAAAGAGCTTTAAGCCATGTAATGCCATTTTCGGGGAAAGACGCAATAAATGGCTAAAAAATCTCAAAAACTTTTTGTGTGGATTTAAGGCGACCAAATCCAGAAGCCCTAAAATTTGTAGAGAAATTAATCGTGATTTATATAAAATTTTTAAATTAATAAAATTAATGTTTTAATTAAAAAATTTAAAAACTGTTCAGTTCGTTTTTGAAAATCAAAATCTAAACCAAACCATTTTGATATGGTTTGGTTCGATTTGAGTAAAAAGAAACCACGCGTTCATGTAAACCCGAACTAACAGTTTCAACTCAATAGTTTCAGTTCGATTTGCGATTTTGCAATTTTTTTGGGGGGAAATTGCAGTTGAGGTACCAAACCTTTCGTTTATTAGCAGACTTTGCCTAAACCTTTAGTTTGTGTCACCGGAGATACCAAACCTTTAAAAAATGTGTGGGGCCAGTCCAAAATGACGGTTTCTGTCTGTTTGACCGCCAAAACAGTCAGTTGATCCCTTTAATGATAATTTCAAGAATTTTCTCCAAATAAGTGAAAGGCAACATGGTCATTACACACATTTTCCTCCTATTATATACTTCACTGTTTATTTCCCTCCATTTCTTTATTACTATATATTACCTACCTTCTCTCTCACAGGTAGTAAAAAAAATCAACAAGAAGATGGAGGAGAATGTATGCAGATGAAGACCTCGTGGACGAACTTGAACCCGGGAAGAAGATTTCTCACTTGTCCTCGAAGCCAAGATGTGGGTGGATGCACCTTCTTTATATGGTGTGACCCTCCGATGTGTGAAAGATCGAAAGAACTGATTCTTGGTCTATTACGAGCTAGGAGGAAAATGGAAGCTGAAATCGACACCCTTCAAGCAACAAGACCAAATGTGTGGAAGATCTGGCTTTTCGGCTTTGTGTGTGGAGTGTTTGCAAAATGGGTTTGTTCCTAGGTATGTAGGGTCAGATTGTAGGATTTTAGTTTTTTGTTCCAGAAATTTGAGCTTAGGGTTTCGAAATGGAGCCATGTGTTAGATGTTGTGAAATGCATATGTAAAAACGGAAAAATTGTGTTGTACATTTTAACTTGAAATTTAACGATATTTTCCTGGCCTCTATGTCAAATGCGAAATTAAAAGAGCATATTACACTTCAAACTTATCTGAAGAAGGTATAGCATAGGTACCAAACCTTATAACGATTCGCAAAATCAGTACCAAACATTTTCTAATGGTTTCAGACAGAGTACCAAACCTTTAAAAACATTGCAGTAAAGGTACCAAAAGTTTGATAATACGTTCATAGGAAGTATCAAACATTCTCATATATTTCATAATCGCCTGCACATCAGATCTTACGAATACAATTTCAGAAACCAATGACGAAAAGCAGAACTATAATGCAAGATATTCGACATCAACATTATCATCACATTGAACAATATCATCAAAAATTCCAGTTATATCTACAAAATACAAAGCATTGGAAGCATATATTTCCAGTTCAGTTTACAAAAAACCACAGCATTTCCCCAAAAAGGTAACTATACAAGAGAAACCACATGATGTTCAAGATTGCGATCCTCTATGCTTGGACTTCTTTGTCTGTGACTTGGAGGTTTGCGTTGAATGTGCTTTTCTCTTCCCCTTTGTTGATCTGGTATGTGTATCTTCTTGTGTGGTTGGTTGAGACTGTTGCTGTGAACTATCTTCACCAGGGAGTGCCTCCTTACAGCTTCTTCTGTTATGTCCAGACCCTCCACAACGTTTACACGTCATCTTCATGCCAGTCCTTCCCATCTTCACGCCTGCAGGTGGCTCTGCCTGTGACCTCTTCCTCAATTTTTTGGGTCTGCCAGCCTGTTTTCTCTTCTGAGGTTGAGTGAGATGATGCTTTCCCAATTCCGGCCACAGTTTAGGCCCTGACATCGGGTGGATCACTGGGGAGTAACATTTCAGGTATGTCTACTTGCTATACCATAGGTCGATGTACTCATATATGACAATATCCCTTGAAAGCATGCCTGATATTGCATCGGGACATGGTATTCCAGTGAGCTGCCATTTTCTGCAAGCACATGCATGTTCTGTCAAGTCAACGCTCCACCTCAAATCGTCTCTGCTGCTTATCTCAAATTTCTGGTTGCCTGCATAGTCTGCCTTCAAGTACCTTGCCTCAGACTTAGCCTTCTCAATGATTTTCACAATTCTTGGCCCGAATGCATGATCCCACCTCTCTGTCGCTTCCCTTTTTGCATTCATCATTATCATTTGCTGATGCCGAATTTTCTCTAGCATGGAGATGATGGGCCTGTCTCTGGCAACAACAATGGAAGAGTTGAATGCCTCACACAAATTATTAAGAAGAATATCACATCTCGAATGCTCTTCAAAATGAGATCTGGTCCATTGGGAAGGAGGTTTTTCAAGGAACCAGTTGTAAGCCTCTTCACTTATGTCTTTTAACTCATTCATTGCACTCTTCCACTCCGGCACTGTTGTTGCCCTTGCTGCAGTCCAAAATAAGTTCTTAAGTGCCAGACCTTTGTGTGCCAAGGTGAAATTGCTATAAAGATGTCTTGTTCAACACCTATGCTCCGCTCCTTCACAGTATTGACTTATGGAATCCACCAAACCCTTTTGTTTGTCGGAAATAAATGTCCAAGCTCGAGGGTTGTGCATCCCTATGTCATCAACCAACAATTCTATGAACCATTGCCAGTTTATTTTGTTCTCCGCATCCACAACTGCCCATGCTAACGGGAACATACAATTCTCACCATCAATGCCAACAGCTGCCAACAACTGTCCCCCTTATGCAGATTTTAGGAAGCATCCATCCAACCCAACAACTGCCCTGCACTCAGCCTTAAACCCTTCCTTACAAGCCCCTATGCAGATGTACAATCTCTTAAAAGTATGTCCCAAACATTCGATTTGGACTGTACTTCCTGGATTTGTTCTCTTCAATTCCTCACCGTAATCCCATAAAATTTTGTACTGCTCAGCTACAATCCCATTAATAACTTCTGCACATTTCGATCTTGTCCTGTAGAACTGATGCTTTGAAATCTCATACATGCAGTCCGCTTTCACAGTCTCCATAAAACTACTCATTGGTATGTTTGGATCAGACCTAAATTTTCTCACGTACTTCTTTGCCAGAAAACCTGAATTAACCCTTCTATTTTACCACACCATGGTACATGTGTGCTCATCTACAAATGTGTTAATTCTAAGACTCTTGTCGGGTTGTTGGTATGCATACAAAACCTAAGGACAATTATCTTGACACCGAACTCTCAACCGTGTCCTCATATTTTTCACGTATCTCAGTTGCCTGGAATTTTTGACTGAGTATTGAACTACTGCATTCCTTAGAATCTTAACGTTGTCGAATTTCATCCCTGGTAGAAATGAATTAAACCAGAATGCATTATCATCCAAATGGATTAAACCAGAAATGAATTACACAAAACAGTGGACATTACCTAGCTTGAACTGTGGATCTTCCATATCAGTTGCAAGGTTAAACCAGCACACATTCTTCCTTCTGGCAGATGATCCCTCAGCCTCGGTATCACTGGGTAAGCTTCTAAGCTCACTGGAGTCTTCGTATTCTGTTCCAGATTCTTTCCCAGCAGCTGCCTCCCCTTCCTGCACATCCCTTACGCCTTCCTGCTCACCACTTGCACTAATGTCAAAACCTTCACTCAACCTGAAATATGTGTTTTCATCATTATCCTCCACAGCAATATTTTCTTCCTGCTCGTACTCTGAGTCAGTGAATTTTTCTCCCAAAATACCCTCCTCATATTCATCATCCAGCTCAGGACCTTCACCAAACTCCACATCAGTTTCAGCAGCCTGCACCTCTGGTTCGGCATCATGCAACTCATGTTCAGCAGCTTGCTGCTGTGGTCCAGAAATATGCACATCAATTTCAGCAGGTTGTACCTCTGCTTCGGCATCATATTCAGCAACTTGCACCTCTTGTTCAGCAACATGCAGCTC